TCCTATATTCCTTAGACCCTCATGATACTATTCCTTTTCTCAACCAATTCTTTCGAATCTTTTTCTCTACCTTTGTGGGCTACATGGAGTGTTAAAGTTTGAACTGCTGGCCTTCTGTGCAAAGTTCTAGGCTGAAACTCGGTTAAGTCAATAAATCACATCTCTACTGTTAAGCGATATTCAACTACCAGCTTCTTATTTCACCGTTAAAAAACTTCGCCTTTCACTTATGAGTAATTGCGCAGACATAAATTTCAGTCAGACTCTACTTGTTTATTGGCATTTATAGAGATTCCTAGAGTTAAGCACACGACGAATGGTGCGAATGCCTAACTGTTTGTATTTGTGTGCACTAGACAGTGAGTGAGAGAGACACAACTTGAACTTAGATGAGGAAGGGAACTCAAGGTAGTGAGTGATTCAATGACTTTATCACTGGAAATGCTAACCAATAAGCGAAAGGTGGAATAACGAATGTACATACGATCTCTCATAATTTACTGTCCCATTAAGATTTCATTTTCAAGTGTTTGGTTTGCAGGGATTTTATTTGCTTGAAAGATTAATCACATGTGCGTCAGTAGCATAGCCGTTAGGACGCTTGCCGACCATGAACATGGTCCGGGGTTCAATTCCCGGCCGACGCACTCCTTTACCTCGCTAAGCCAGAAATAATGCTAGTGAAGAGGAAAGGTTGGGCATGAGGCTAGCAACCCCATCCTGTAAAATAAAGACTGCTACAAAACTTCAAGCCACTAGCTTGAAGCCCTGGGGAACGTGAAGAAAAGAAAACAGAAGTTTGATCACAATTAGTCTCCTTTTTAGCTGACTCCATGACTGACTGTGCATAATACTTTCATTTCCTTCTATGCATACGATCTCCTCCATGTCACCCTCTGATACACACTCACACACAACTCGATTTTTCCCATTCGGGTTCCACTCGAAGATCTCATTCAGTGTCTCCATTATGGATAAGATTTTATTTTGATAAATCACACAGTAATATTAACTGATGACCACGTTTCGAGCACAAACTATTGCCACTCATAATCATATCAAGTTACTCACACAACTTTTTCTTTCATTTATATACATGTGTGAAATTGATTAGATATTTAAATAAAAATCAATATAGGATAATGTACCTTCAGAAATAATAATATGAGTGTTATTGATCAGATACAATTAGATGGGAAATGAGACGAGTGTTTTTATATTCATAATAAGTAACTTGTTAGATTGTTGTGATGTGCTTGAATCGAAATAGAAATTTGAGATTATTTATTATCCTCTTCTGATTTGACTGACCGGCGGTAATAATATCTTCCATATTTCTGGTATTTGCATTGAGTCATTTCTGTTGCATGTGTTGTGTTGGGTGGAGACTCAATGAACCAGGATTCTGTAATCAATCTCTTTCTCCACCTACATAGATTACTTCTTAGAATCTGAACCCTCTCCCACCCTTTTGAGTTAATGCATGTATTGCAATTGCTGAGCTTTTTTCTAAATTTCTCATCTTCTCGGGGTCAACCATTCTTACCTTAGCTAGATTCTTATGTTCCGACAATGTGATTACCCCCGATCTACTAGTTTGACCTATATAGTTGACTTCACAGTCATTGCAGGGTATTTTGTAAATTATTTTATTTTGTTTAATTGGGTTCACCGGGTCTTTTAGCCTATAAAGCTTGTCTCTGAGTGAGTTTGTAGGTTTAAACGCCACTCGAATTCCTATTTTATTGAGAATACTAATAAGTAGGGTCTCAGATCTCCCCTTCTTATATGGCAAAACTACTGTAGATGCCTTATATTCTCTCTTATTTATGTTATTATTACTAGTTTCACAATTATTTTTATTTGCTTATGGCCTTATCTCATCTTCCTAATGAATTTTATAGGATAGTTATTTGATACCAACGCTCCTTCTATCTGGTTTATTTCATAATTTAGGTCTTTTCTTGTGCTACTGCTCGGTTTGTTAAACACTTAACTAAGCCTGCCTTAACAGTTAACGCATGAGACGAGTTAAAGTCTACATATCTATTAGAATGCGTTGGTTTTCTATTCGTTGTATTTTACAATCTAATATAGCTAATTCTCCTTGTTCATTTTCCGATTCAAATGCGAATTTTCTTCCTCTTACTAGTGAGTTTATGTGTCAAGAAGCTGGAGATATATTAAAACAATTAGTCCCTTTGATAAATTTGAATAAGGCATTAAGAAGACAAATTTCGCGAGATGATGCCATCATTTCGTAGTTTCTTTACAACCGCTTTACAACTAACATGGTTAACAATAATAAAATAAAGTTCATGACAATTACTCAGTTAAATAAAAAACAAAAGTACATACTAATGACCACTCATATTTTGAAATAGGTCAAGTAGTCCATAGTAGGCGAGAAGGTTGAAGTCGATTGATTTTTGTATACACAGTTTAGGCTGTATGTGATTAATCCAAAGTGCTTCCATCACCTTCAATAACCAACCTTGAATTAGAGTTATGTGGTGAAATAATTGTAAAACAGTCATTAATATTGATTTTGTGACCTGACATTAATAAGTGTTTTTCTCACTTGCCGAACATTTTCGATCCCTATACCTACGATTAAAGGACGAAATTCTGTGGACTCTACAAGTTTACCTGCAGCTGCGGATGAGCCAACAGAATGTTCCAATGTCGTCGAAAGGAACATGTTCCAAAATGGTTACTAAATTATATAGAAAATCCCAATGCCAGTAATCTGAATAGAAATCCAGCATCATCCATTGCAAAACACTTATTAATTTCTGGTCACAAAATCAATATTAATGACTGTTTCACAATTATTTCATCACATAACTCTAATTCAAGGTTGGTTATTGAAGGTGATGGAAGCACTTTGGATTAATCACATACAGCCTAAACTGTGTGTACACAATATAATAGACTTCAACTTCGCCTACCCTGGACTACTTGACCTATCTAAATATGGTTGGTCATCAGTATTGTACCTTTGTTTTTTATTTAACTGAGTAATTGTCATGATCTTTATTTTATTATTGTTAACCATGTCAGTTGTAAAGTGGTTGTAAAGAAACTACGAAATGATATCATCTCGCGAAATTCGTCTTCTTAATGCCTTATTCAAAGCAAGAGATATGTTCTGTTTTTAACACTGTGAAAGTGTCATCCACATATCTCCACCATATTTTTAGAGTAGGATTAAATGTATTAAGAGCAATATTCTCCCATGTGATTGTAACTGATCCATAACACTCATATTATTATTTTTGAATGTACATTATCCAATATTGATTTTTATTCAAATGTCTAATCATCAGTCTCACTCATGTATATAAATGAAGGAAAAAAGTTGTGTGAGTGAGTAACTTGATATGATTATGAGCAATAGTTTATGCTCGAAACGTCATCAGTTAACATTACTGTACAACACTGTGTGATTCATCAAAATAAAATCTTATCCATAATGGAGTTTTACTACCGACTAGTAGAACTACGATACGTTTATTATTTCTTAAAATCTTTATTTAGGCTTCATTCCACACAGTATATTTAGTACAGCTATGGAATTTTTTCAGCATGTGATATCGGTAGCCTAAATTTTAGCAAGCCGACCATTGATACCAGACCAGGTGTGCGTCGGCCGGGGATAGGACCCCGGACAATGTTCATGCTCGGTGCCACCGACGCACGGTGTGCGTGTGTCATCTGGAAATCAAACCAACTCAGCCCACGCACCCACCCCTCTGGCATTGTTTACCCTACATTAACATTTAGATTGAAGAAGAAAAAGTCGAATCACGTATCTATCTATTATTATTATCATCATTATTTTTTGTTTGTTTGTAATGGATAAAAAAACAACCCGCCTTTTTTA